ATATATATATATATATATATATATATATATATATATATATATATATATATATATATATATATATTCATCATCCATTCACACCAATTTTCAAACATGGTTCACATTCACAATCAATCTCGCCATGCATCTCTATTTAATTCAAATAATGCACAAAATTGCCAAACGACCATATTTCCCACTTCACAAATCACAAACTAGGATTCACACCATACGGCTACCCACAACACATATAACAACATATAATTAGTCATCTCAGACAAGGAATGATCGCAACCAAACCACACAACCGATCCACGAATGGAAAACACAAGAAAAGAAAATATGCTGCTGTGTTCGCTAACCTTCGCCTGGCGAAGCCTCTGGCGAACCTTCGCTACTCTGTTCGCCTGGCGAACTTGCCAGCGAAGACCACTGGAATTTATTCTGAAATTACTCGCTAGCATACTCGCCTGGCGAACTTGCCAGCGAAGACAGGGTGGATGCTACTGACTTGGTTCGCTGCTGCTCGCTGGGCTTCGCCCGGCGAAGCTTCGCTGCCATTCGCCTGGCGAACCTGCGAACTCAGAACTCCCATGGCTGTAGAAAAGCCCAAACCTCACAAACCGACCGATTTAATCCAAATCAGTTCCAGTAGTACAACCTACTCATCACCCGACTATACTACACCGTCTATTCCAAATTCTAACCGATAAAACTCAGTTTCTACCGATTAAATCAACTTCCGACCTAGAAATGGAAACATAGAAAACAATCCAACAAATCCAATCTAGCACATACATGATCATACACATTATGAAGATGATAAAACTTCTCACCCTTACCTGATTAATCGCAAGCTAAGGTTGATTCTTGATGATTCTAGGTTTTGCTCCACTTTCTCTTCTTTTCTCTCCTCCTCTTTTCTTTCTCTTGTTTTTCTTCTTAATGTTTCTATCTTTTTCTATTCTCTCTATATCACATATTCTGTTTCTTTTCTCCCAAATTCTTTCCACACACTTATCAATTAATTCTCACAAAATATCCACTTAATATTATCACTAATGCCCAAAATACCCCTCAACCTATTTTTACCCGAAACTCTCAAGGTCGGCAAAAATAGCTCAATATGTAAACATAACATATTATCACACAAATTCCACATAAATAAAATAATCACTTAAATAAATCAAATAAGGACTCAATAAAAATGGGAATTCAGAATCGGGGCGTTACAATATGAACAACAGCTGCTTGCTAATTTACAAAACTATCTTAAGAATAATCTCCTAGAGATTTACATCGTATCAGCATGAGTTTTGTTAAGCCTAAAAGCTTCTTTTAATGCTTCTCTCTTTTTCATGTAGAGCAGCACTCTATTTTGACTGAGCTTCAAGCATCTTCTTTTAAGCTTAAAACTTGGTGCTTTGCTTCCGCTTTGCACACATACTCTCGTGTTTTCTTCAGCTCTTTTTTTTATTTTAGATGAGCTCACATTTCTTCTCTGTTTTCCTCTTCTAAATCGCATCACATCTTCTCTCTTTATTTGTCTTTGCTCGTCTTTTTCGTTGCTACTCCTTTTTTTTCCTTCAAGCTTTCAGATCTTCAATATATAGAGCTTAAGAATATATCTGTTGAAAGGTATAATGGAAACAAATTCCAACTGTAACTTTCCAACGTTCACTTGAAAGAATGGTCACATCAAAATACAAAGAGTTGTCCTTGTGCCACCTTATCTAGGTATAGGTCATAGACTATTTTTGTACTTTTATATTCAGCACTTTATAAACCATTCTTAATCTTATGTCTTCTAATTTTTTAGAGGCTTCAGATGTATATTTGATGAAGCATGTTGTAGAGAGATTAATACTTGTAACTTCAGAACTTAAGTCTTGAGAGTCTTAGATCTTCGTTCAGCAGAACCTTGTCTTAAGAGCCTTCAGCACTTGGTCTTTTAGAAGTGATGTCTTCAGAAACTTCAAAACTCGTTCAACAAAACCTCATCTTCAGAACTTTGTTCAGCAGACACACTTGTCTTCAGAGTTTTTAGAACTTTGTTCAACAGAACCTTGTCTTCAGAAACTTCAGAACTTTGGAGCAATAGAAATGATGTCTTTAGAATCTTCAGAACCTCATTCAGTAGAATCTTGTCTTTAGAATCTTCAGAACTCGGAGAATTTAAAAGCACATCTCTTAGAAATCCTTTGAGCCTTCACACACTAAGTCGTGAACAAAAGCTATAGTACAAACGTTTTTCAGAACCGTTGCATTAGGAGCATTTCTGAGTTTTGACTTTATCTTGTACAAGACATATGTTTTCTTCTAGAATGTTCAGATCAGAGTCTGATGACGTTACACGCATTTCTATCAGAATCAAATCATGTTTAACAAAAGCTACACACTAAACAGAAACCATAGAGTATCGAATTTTTCTCTAAGATAACGTGTGCAGTTATCATCAAACTTTAAGGTCAGATGCAAAACCAATCTTGTTCTTACAATCATTTCCCCACATTCTATCCCATTTGTCCAAATGAGTGGATAACCCTCAAAACCCACATCATAAAGTCCACAATCATCCACCGTAATCCTTCCCAACATAAGTTGGTTTATGCTTCTTATAATTCCTCCAACCTTGTTTCAAGTACTAATTGTATCATTAAAATCACCAAAGTAGTAGCACAACCCATCAAGAGGCTTAAGGGTCCTGATTAGTTGCCATGAGAGCCTTTTCTTATGCTACTCAGGATGCCCATATATGCCAGCTAAAGCTACACAATCACCTCCGATCGCATCCTCAAAAGTACCCCCCTATGTGGTTGAGGGAGTAAGAGGTTATAGATAAGTTCAAAGATCCTTCCATAAAAGGGTTTAACTCCCTACTCTGTACTTGCCTTGACTTGAGAAATCCTCTATCATACCTTTGTTGAAATTGAACTTCAACCTTATTTTTTCCACTTTTGAAACTTTGAGTCTTGTTTCCATAAGAAAAACCAAAATGGGATTTTCCAAATGGACGAGCCTCCCCAAGGCTAAAACTGTAGAGGGATTCCCAACCCTCTACAATTCCAACTGAGAATTTTCATTGAATCATGTAGTGTTGGTCTTACAACACCACCTTTGGTTCATTATGTGCCTTTTTTGTTCCTTCATCCCCCTTTTCGTTTCCTTTTTTTACCGCATTCTAGTATGTCCATTGGTGAAGCAGCTGTTACCGTGACCTCAATCAATTTTCTCTTCCGCATCTCAGCTTCTAGCTTTCTCGCTTTTTAGGTTGCTTTTGGTTTGTTCGCCTTCTGCCTTTTCCACTTTGGTGCTTCTTTCTTCCTTTCCTATCCACTAACCTCTTTAGTTTCTTCCATTTTTATCTTTTGATATCATAACCGCTCCCAAGGACCCAACTACTCTTTCCACACCTCTATTTCTTTCTATTGTCAATGTTTTCTCCTTACTAGTTCTTTCCTTTTCCCCACGTCTTGCATTTGAAGCATGTATCAGGTTTTTCCTTGTACTCTTGTCATTTGTCGCTTCATTACTCCCACTCTGACTTGGTTGGCCGAAGATGTTTCGGCTGCAACTTCTTGAGCTTTGTTCCTTCCTACTTTCTTCAACATTTTGTGGTAAGGGTGAAGCCCTTAACCAGGGTCTAAAGGATAAGTCATGCTCCTCAATTTTCTCATAGCTACCGCCTTCATTATCCCCCAGCTTTTGCAATCTTTTAGTTGATGCCCTATTTTCCCACACACAAAGCAAAAGGTGTCTTTCATATTTGAATAATACCTTCAACCTTCGCTCTTGGTATTTAATCATTGTTCCGTTTTTTAGGGGTTTGCGAAGATTGATCTTGGTTTTGGTTCTTAAGAATCTTCTCATTCTGTTAGATTATTTGGGGTTCACCTCTTCAAACGCTCCAATGATGTTTCCCAATTGCTTCACCATCACTTTGGACCTTAGTTTCAAGGGTAGGTCATAAACATTAATTCGGAAATTCCCAAAATGCATCACTATACCAGACGGTTGTTCTTCCCCTTAAACCTTTTCCCAGCTTAAGAGATTTTAGTCGAAGTTCCAGAGTCCTCCTTTAATCATCGTATTCACGTCTTTCTCAGATGAGAAGCGAAAAAGGAAAAGATTCTTCCCAGATCTTGTGCCTCCACCGCCTTTTTTTTTTGCGCCATACTTGTATAATTGTTGACTTGAAAGCACATATATTAAAAGGATTGTCCCGTTATCCCTTATTCCTTAGTGGTACTTCCTTCCACCGTTCTCCCCTTTGTTCCCCATTTCCAAAATTGCGAGCTCAAAATCAAATAATCAAGTCCAGAATCCGGCACAACACACCAAAAAACCACCATACCAAAGGTTGTGGGAACCCTAGAAAAACACGGATCCAGAGGGAAGTGAGAAAGAGGATGAAAGAAACCCAGACAAAATGACACCACAAAGATATAGAGAAAGTCACTATAAATTAGAGAGAGAAGGCCGACCTTCTCGCTAGAACACTTGAGTAGAAAGAATCTTTTTTAGATTGAGAAAATTTTAGTCGCACCCTTTAATATTCAAACAAAAAAATGGTGCGATACTGAGATGTGCATAAATTAAATTTGAATTGTTAAAAGAGAAAATGTTGAAAACAGTGTTGTTGGTACAAGAAATGCTACTATTTTTCTTTAAACTAAATGAAATGCTAATAAGATGATAGTGAAATGGGAAGGGACAGAGTTCTCTCTGCTCCGTCCCTAGCTTGCATCCGTAATGAACCACCATTATGTTGCAGTACTATTCACCCATTCAATTTCCCCGATTGTTGATTATAATAGATTAAGGGATTAACAATTTAATAACGAAAAATAGAAGTGCTTGATCGCCTTTCTTTAATATGCATCTTATCCAGTAAAACAACATTAAAAAAACAAAGTATATCCAAAAAATTGACAATCAATTCCAATATATTCAACAAGATGAATTGCAACAACGCAGAGTAAGAATGAAAAACATCATCAATTATTGTTTGTTACTAAAAACTAGAAAAAAGAATTATTGTTGTTGTCAAGTTCATGTTGCAGTGCTTCCTCAAGCCAAAACAAAGACTCTTCCATCAATTCCGGACTCAACCTAAACATCAAAACACAAAACTCCATCTGTGTCAGTGCTCCATCTCTATCCAAATCACCTTCCTTCATCATGCTAACAAGCTCATCTTCTTTCATGTCCAGAAGACCCAAAACCGCAGCGTTTTTCTTTAAGCTATCTAACGTGATCACACCTTTTTCTTTGTCCATCAACAAGTCAAACCCGTTGCATAGCTCTTTTATTAAACCTTCACCACCTAGCTTGTTGGCCATCATTGGTAACAAGTCCTCGAAGACATTTGATCTGTTGTTGTTTGTAGCCATTGTTAAAAGAGAATGTGAATATGTGATGTTTGGTTGAATTTGAGTTGTTTGGGGAATACTAGTTGTATTTATATGTGGAAAAAGAAGATGGAAAGGATCGTGGAAACTGGATGGGGTTGAAGGAAGGAAGGAAAGAGAGAAAGTAATTAATGATCCCTGTGAGGATGACAGCCAAGAAACAGAGAAATATTCGTTCATCAGCTTTGATTGTGGACAAGAAACCACACCTGCTTACCTGTTTCCTCGAAGTTTGTCAAGGGCATCTTCGTAACTTCGCTTGTCTTATGGTGTAAGTAATGACCTGCTGCTTGTGAAAGTGTTTAATGCTATAACTTTTTAGTTTACCTTTTTTTCTATATTTTTGCACTACAAGGTTAGTTCTATACCCGTTCCGATTTCATACTTTACATTCTTTAGAAATGTAGTCAATTATTTTTTTCCTTTCTTTCAAAATAATTTATCAATTGCACTAAGTATTTTTATTAGTAATTTACTTTTATCATGTTTTGATTTACTCACTTTTTATATCTCTATATGTAGAGAGAAAAAGATATTCAATTGAAATAGATGCAAATAGTATTAATAAATATTGTTTAAAAATTTGAAAGAGACTAACAGTTTTAAAATAATTTTATTTATAAATAAATTTATTATTTAAATTTTTATTTGTAAGGATCGTTGGAAATTCACCTCACACCCTATGAAGAATTCCCTTCAATCTTGATCTCAAAATTGATGAACAAACCCACAATATGATAATGATGGTAATAACAAGTAATTATCAAGAACAACAAAAGAGAAGAAGAATAACAAACAAGAAAGAGAAGAATGAGAGAAGAAGTATTTGGAGAGAATGTGTTACCCACAACTGTGGGATTTCTTATTGAACTTTCACTTGCTAACTGCAACTGTGAAATCTGTTCTGTTGTGATGTATAATACAAAGCAAGGCACCATATTTATAGTTTTAGGTTTACACTAGCCCAAAACATAAAAAGGCCCAAAATATTCTAAATCAAATCTAATCATATGATATCAAATCTAATCATATGATATCTAATCATATCATATCAAATTAATCATATGATATCAAATCTAATCATATGATATCAAATTAAATATGTTTAGACAATGAATTATATTTAACACACCACCTAATTCATTGTGTCTAAATTGTCTACATTCATCATGGCCCTTAGTCTTCTGAAGGATTCGACCTGCACTCCCTTCGTCATGATATCTGCAATCTGATTCTTAGTTCTGCAGTGTTCCAACTTCATCTTCCCTTTTGCTACCCTCTCTCGGAGATAATGGAACCTCATTTCGATGTGCTTGCTTCGACCATGAGCTATTGGATTCTTTGCCAAGTTGATAGCTGACATGCTGTCTATCTTCATGGTAATTGCTCCATGGTTCTTCCCTGTGATTTCTTCGACCAAGTTCACCATCCAAGTTGCTTGACATGCACAAAGGGAAGCAGCTATATATTCTGCTTCGCATGATGATAATGCCACCACTGGTTCCTTTCTCGAATTCCAAGCAACTGGTGCACCACCTAACATAAACACATACCCAGCTGTGGATTTTCGATCCTTAGCATCACTACACCAACTGGAGTCTGTGTATCCCACTAACTTGCATTCTTTTCCTTCATCAGCTGCTGGAAACAAAATGCCATAGTCGAGAGTTCCTTTCAAATACCTCGGTATCCTCTTCGCCGCTGCTAGGTGTGATACCTTTGGTTTCTGCATGAATATACTTATCATACCAACATTGTATGCTAAGTCAGGCCTTGTGTGGCAAAGGTATCTAAGTGACCTAATAAGTCTTCTGTATTGGGTTGGGTCGACATCATCTTCATCTGAATCCTTCGACAGTTGTAATCTGGGCTCAGCTGCATTAACTGGTTCGATAGACTCCAACTCTTCAATCATTGCTTTCATCCTCTTCGAATCTTTCAATGCCTCAGCTGCATTGACTGGTTCGACATCTGCGTAGAAAGCAAAATGTACCAACTCACCCTCTTCATCGACTACATCATCTGATGTAATTACACATTCTTGCAACCTTGCAGGCATGTGTCTTGTTCGTCGAGGTCTGCTTGAACCTGCTTCATCTGCAACTGGTTCCTGTCGAACTTCTATTTCGAATTCAGTGGCTGGTTCTTCACAAGAGATTCTAACTGAATCCTTCTTGGAATTCTCAGTCCAATCCCATTCTTTAAGCTCATCTATGATCACGTCCCTGCTGATCACTACCTGCTTATTCACTGGGTCGAACAATTTATAACCTCCTGTCGAATGATACTCTATCAAGATCATCTGATTCGACTTATCATCAAGCTTCCTTCTCAACTGATCTGGCACATGTCTATGTGCTATAGATCCAAACACCTTCAAGTGACTGAGACTAGGCTTGACACCAGACCAACATTCTTCTGGTGTGATTCCTTCAAGCTTCTTCGTCGAACATCTGTTTAATATATATGTTGTTGTCGAAACTACTTCTCCCCATAATTCTTTAGGTAGATGTTTTCCATTCAGCATACTTCTCACCATATTCATGATGGTTCTGTTCTTGCGTTCTGCAATCCCATTTTGTTGTGGAGTGTAAGGTGGCACCACCTCATGCACAATCCCTTCTTTTACACATAGTGTATCGAACTCTTTCGACACATACTCTCCACTACCATCAGTCCTCAAAATTTTCAGCTTTCGACCACTCTGTCTTTCGACCATGGACTTGAATCTGGAAAATACCTCAATCACATCACTTTTCTTCTTGATGAGGTAAGTCCACAACTTTCGACTGTAATCATCTATAAACGTGACAAAGTATCTATTGCCACCAATCGAATCCACCTGGATTGGACCACATACATCAGAGTATATGACTTCAAGTATTGCCTTCGACTTCCTTCCTGCATCCTTGCTGAAGCTATTCTTGTGTTGTTTCGACTGAACACACTCCTCATAGACTTCACTTGGAATGTCGATTTCTGGTAATCCTGAAACCATATTTCTTCTATTCAGTTCTCTGATGTCATTAAAGTTGAGATGACCTAGTCGAAAATGCCATAACCACTCATCTCTGCTGGCTGCAGTTGCCAGACACTTGTGCTCCATCACATTGAGTCCAATCTTGAAGGTCCTATTTTGAGACATTGGAGCCTTCAAGATTAGTCTACCACCTGCGTCGAGGACTCTCATCATCTTGTCTTCGACAACTACCTTGTAGTTCTTTTCGACAAGCTGCCCTATATTGAGCAAATTACTCTTCATGCCTGGTATGTACAACACATTGGAAATTGTTGACCTTTTGCCATCTTTCCTCATAATCAGAACATCACCAACACCTTCAGCTGCTAGAGTGTTGTCATTTGCAAACTTCACCGTATTCTTCGACGAGGGCTTCATGTTGACAAACCAATCTTTCCTTCCAGTCATGTGTGATGAGCATCCTGAGTCCAAGTACCACTGATCTTGGAATCTTTCTTCATCTTTTGTTGTGACCATTAGCAACGTTTCTTCTTCTTCATGTTTCGCCAGCTTTGCATCAGTCTCTTGATTTTTCTTCCTTTCTGGACAATCACTAGCATAATGACCATACTTCTGGCAATTGAAACACTGAATATGGCTTTTGTCTGGCTTTCAACCACCACCTCTTCCTTTACCTGCATCACCACCTCTTTGGTTGCCTTGGTTCCAAGGTTTCCTCTGATTCGATTGGTTTCCTCCTTTGTTGCCATTCCAGCTACCTTTGTCTTTTCTTTCCTTTTCTGACTGCGCCTGTAAAGCCATATCTTTCGACTTTCCTGCAGCTCTCTCAGCCATCCTCTGTTCATGAGACTCAAGAGTCCCTTGAAGCTCTTCCTTCGTCAACACTGACAGATCTTTAGACTCTTCTATGGCAACTACCACGTGGTCGAATTTTGGAGCCAACGATCTCAATATTTTTAAGACAACTGCTTTCCCCGTTAGCGTTTCTCCACATACTTTGATTTGATTCACCAACTTCGTAACTCTGGTGAAGAAATCTGTAATGCTTTCGTTGTCTTCCATCTGAAGCAACTCATAGGTTCTCTTGTGAGTTTGTAACCTCACCTCTTTCACCTTCTCTGCGCCTCCAAACGACTTTCCAAGAATCTCCCATGCTTCTTTTGCTGAATCAACATCACTAACCTTTTCAAAGTTATCAGGATCGACACACTGATGAATTATAAAGAGTGCTTTATAATCCTTCTTCTTCAATTCTTTGTGCGCAGCCTTTTCTGCCTTCGTTGCGTTCTCCCTAAGCGATGTTACTCCATCTTTCACAAGATCCCAAAGATCTTGATAACAGAAGATCACCTTAATCTGCTTGCACAAATTCTCATAATTGTCTTTCTTGAGAATTGGCAGGGTCGCCGGAAAGTTGTTGTTCGGATAATTCATCGCCATCACTATCTTCCTTCCTTGAATCTCTCAACCGGAGCTCTAGATACCAGATGTTGGAAATTCACCTCACACCCTATGAAGAATTCACTTCAATCTTGATCTCAAGATTGATGAACAAACCCACAATATGATAATGATGGTAATAACAAGTAATTATCAAGAACAACAAAAGAGAAGAAGAATAACAAACAAGAAAGAGAAGAATGAGAGAAGAAGTATTTGGAGAGAATGTGTTACCCACAACTGTGGGTTTTCTTATTGAACTTTCACTTGCTAACTACAACTGTGAAATATGTTCTGTTGTGATGTAGAATACAAAGCATGGCACCCTATTTATAGTTTTAGGTTTACACTAGCCCAAAACATAAAAGGCCCAAAATATTCTAAATCAAATCTAATCATATGATATCAAATCTAATCATATGATATCTAATCATATCATATCAAATTAATCATATCATATCAAATCTAATCATATGATATCAAATCTAATCATATGATATCAAATTAAATCTGTTTACACAATGAATTATATTTAACAAGGATTTATTCCACAACTGAAATA